GACTGACTTTACCCCAAGAAATCTGCCTTTCCTGTCTCTTAACTGGCTATCTCCCCTGGCCCACTAACCCTTCCATCCTTATCCAACTGCCCAACAATTGTCTACCAACTGACACACTATCAACCTCTCCCATAACCCACAATTCTCTCTGTACCATGCTGAAACACGTGTCTCCATTCCAGCTATCCAATCCTTTACCCCATCCCACAAACACTATCCTCATTCAATCCTTCCTCTGTACCAAATGACCAACACCCCTCTGTCCTAACCAGTTGACACGTCCTTGTGTCCCAAATGGCTAGCACCTCCTTATCTCCCAAATAAACCAATAAAGGTCTCAAGCAGCGACCACCTAGAGTGAATATTCTGCTGGTTTCATTATGGGTCGAAATATAAATAAAATACACAATGGGGCAGCTGTAAAGGGGACTTTTTTTATAATTCTGAAACTGTCCCAAGGTAACTTGGACCTAAATAAATTTCCAAATTGACAACTGACAGCCCCCCTGCATCCCAAACTGGGTGAAAGCTGATCCTCTCGGCAGGGATAATACCGGCCCCCACACCCCATCACGGGATCCAGGTCACTGGTAGTTCAGGGCTGCATTGATAATACAAAGATTACAAAGCAGATATTTTATTTATTTCAGCCCTGAGACAATCTGATTAAACAGTAATGTCAGCACCTAATTCGAAAATCAAACATCAGACAGAGAGCCATTCCCCCACACCCCAAACCTTTACATTGGGCTATAGCCAAAAATGGGTAAATCCAAAACAAGGGTACCGGTGTGACCCCATAGCTCCAAGGCCACGCAGGATCCTTCTGTAACCCGCCTTGTAGCAATGAGTTCCATTATAAAGTCATACGCCAGCCACGTTTACGAATCCAGCACCATTTTTAAACACTCCTCATTATAAAGGGGTATTTAAGAACAATTAACCCTTTTATCACAAAAGAGTATGAAAATTAAAAACAGAGACAAGGCAGTCCTAACAAGTCTCTGTTTTTAATGGGTTCAAACAACAAACGGCTATTAACATGTGACGCTGAGCCCAGATAGAAAGTCTCAGTGTCTGACTCACCTGTACTGACTGCACAGTAATCTCATAATCTGACAATGGCTGAAAATGGCTGTACGTGAGTTCTATGGTCTATAGCAGGCTGTACGTGGGTTATATGGTCTATAGCGGGCTGTACGTGGGTTATATGGTCTATAGCGGGCTGTACGTGGGTTATAAGGCCTATAGCAGGCTGTACGTGGGTTATATGGTCTATAGCAGGCTATACGTGGGTTATAAGGTCTATAGCAGGCTGTACGTGGGTTATATAGTCTATAGCAGGCTGTACGTGGGTTATATGGTCTATAGCGGGCTGTACGTGGGTTATATGGTCTATAGCAGGCTGTACGTGGGTTATAAGGTCTATAGCAGGCTGTACGTGGGTTATAAGGTCTATAGCGGGCTGTACGTGGGTTATATGGTCTATAGCGGGCTGTACGTGGGTTATAAGGCCTATATCAGGCTGTACGTGGGTTATATGGTCTATAGCGGGCTGTACGTGGGTTATATGGTCTATAGCGGGCTGTACGTGGGTTATATGGTCTATAGCGGGCTGTACGTGGGTTATATGGTCTATAGCAGGCTGTACATGGGTTATATGGTCTATAGCAGGCTGTACGTGAGTTATATGGTCTATAGCGGGCTGTACGTGGGTTATATGGCCTATAGTTGGCTGTATGTGGGTTATATGGTCTATAGCGGGCTGTACGTGGGTTATATGGTCTATAGCAGGCTGTACATTGGTTATATGGTCTATAGCAGGCTGTACATTGGTTATATGGTCTATAGCAGGCTGTACTTGGGTTATATGGTCTATAGCAGGCTGTACGTGGGTTATATGGTCTATAGCGGGCTGTACGTGGGTTATATGGTCTATAGCGGGCTGTATGTGGGTTAAAAGGTCTATAGCGGGCTGTATGTGGGTTAAAAGGCCTATAGCGGGCTGTACGTGGGTTAAAAGGCCTATAGCGGGCTTTACGTGGGTTAAAAGGCCTATAGCAGGCTGTATGTGGGTTATATGGTCTATAGCAGGCTGTATGTGGGTTATATGGCCTATATCAGGCTGTACGTGGGTTATAAGGCCTATAGCAGGCTGTACGTGGGTTATATGGTCTATAGCGGGCTGTACGTGGGTTATATGGTCTATAGCGGGCTGTACGTGGGTTATAAGGCCTATAGCCGGCTGTACGTGGGTTATAAGGCCTATAGCAGGCTGTACGTGGGTTATAAGGCCTATAGCAGGCTGTACGTGGGTTATATGGCCTATAGCAGGCTGTACGTGGGTTATAAGGTCTATAGCGGGCTGTACGTGGGTTATATGGTCTATAGCGGGCTGTACGTGGGTTATAAGGCCTATAGCCGGCTGTACGTGGGTTATAAGGCCTATAGCCGGCTGTACATGGGTTATAAGGTCTATAGCAGGCTGTACGTGGGTTATAAGGCCTATAGCAGGCTGTACGTGGGTTATAAGGTCTATAGCGGGCTGTACGTGGGTTATAAGGTCTATAGCAGGCTGTATGTGGGTTATATGGTCTATAGCGGGCTGTACGTGGGTTATAAGGCCTATAGCCGGCTGTACATGGGTTATAAGGTCTATAGCAGGCTGTACGTGGGTTATAAGGTCTATAGCGGGCTGTACGTGGGTTATAAGGTCTATAGCAGGCTGTATGTGGGTTATATGGTCTATAGCGGGCTGTACGTGGGTTATAAGGCCTATAGCCGGCTGTACATGGGTTATAAGGTCTATAGTGGGCTGTACGTGGGTTATCAGGCATGCAGCAGGGTATAAGTTAGGTGACTCTACGGGGGTAAGGTGGCTTGCAGCTCATCAATGGCAAAGATGACTCACTCCACTTAATCAGACACATTACTGAGACTCTGTCATTAACGTCACGTTAACGAGACTCTACCTCTGAAAACTTTCCATAGACATTTTGTTTATAATTACAGCGTCTTTCAGGAAGAAACCCCTTTGAAGTGTTAGTCACAAGTTGTCGAGCTTCTTGGAACATCTGAACTGACACATACTTGTACCACCTGGGCAGTCACACGGCCCCCACCGCGGTCATTACTCTGCCCCTTTAATAAGTCATAGGGCCCCGGTTTCACCTTTACCTGTCCTTTGTAGATGTGGAATGCCCTGACCTCATCTCCTGGGAATTCCGGCTCAGTTTCCAGTCATTTGTTCCAACTGCCCCTAACTCGCCTCTCAGGGGTGCACATTAACCCATTCCTGGCAGCAGACACATCGACTAAGGGTGGGAGCTGTGGATTAGTGCTCACATTACTGGTAGGCCAAAAATAATTAAATAAAATTAACTGATGATTCAGTTACAATAAAAATCTCTAAATACATAATAGCAACGATTCTATTAACTCTTACACACTTTATCATTCGCACCTTTTACATACATCCCCACTCTCTGTATAATGCACCTAGACCCCCACTCTCTGTATAATGCACCTAGACCCCCACTCTCTGTATAATACACATAGACCCCCACTCTCTGTATAATACACCTAGACCCCCACTCTCTGTATAATACACATAGACCCCCACTCTCTGTATAATACACATACAACCCCTCCCTCACTGTATAATACACATAGACCCCCACTCTCTATACAGAACACATACACCCCCACTCTCTGTATAATAGACATAGACCCTCACTCTCTATACAGAACACATACACCTCCTCTCTCTGTATAATAGACATAGATCCCCACTCTCTGTATAATAGACATAGACCCTCACTCTCTGTATAATAGACATAGACCCCCACTCTCTGTATAATACACATACAATTAAACTCAACAAGACAAGACTAAAAAACCAAGGGGTGCTGGCGGCCTTGTTCAAAGAGCTTACAGTTTGGGGGTGATGGCATAGTTTGTACTATTAGGTGTATAATGGGGTAGGGCTGGGGTTCCCAGTCTGTAAACAGCATTTTTCTAATGGGGTGAAGGGGAAGCAGTAATTAGTAATTGGTTAATTATTGCTGAGAATTGGTGTTGGGGATGGAGAGTTGGGAAGATGATGGAAGGGGAATTTCATAGGAAAGGGACAAAGAGAGGGATAGAGCAAGACATGACCACATCTCTTTATTGTACCAGGATATCACAAGGAACCTGAGTAGGGACTCGCTGAGGGGGAGCAGATATCAGTAGCCCAGTCTGGCAATGGTGTTCATTATAAAAAATCACTTCTACACTAAGCAAATATCAATTAAACGTCTCTCCTTTTACTGCACCATCCGATAAACTATACCGTCATTGTTAACTATTCTAGCAAGCTATTTCCCCATCCATTAAATAATCCCACCCTTACCTCTCATGTCACTTTACCCCACTCCCTCTAACATGTAAACTCACTGAGCAGGCCCTCGATCCCTCTGTTACTGTGTCACTATACCCCACTCCCTCTAACATGTAAGCTCACTGAGCGGGGCCTCAATCCCTCTGTTACTGTGTCACTATACCCCACTCCCTCTAACATGTAAACTCACTGAGCAGGGCCCTCAATCCCTCTGTTACTGTCACTATACCCCACTCCCTCTAGCATGTAAACTCACTGAGCAGGCCTCAATCCCTCTGTTCCTGTGTCACTATACCCCACTCCCTCTAACATGTAAACTCACTGAGCAGGCCCTCAATCCCTCTGTTACTGTGTCACTATACCCCCACTCCCTCTAACATGTAACCTCACTGAGCAGGCCCTCAATCCCTCTGTTACTGTGTCACTATACCCCACTCCCTCTAACATGTAAACTCACTGAGCGGGCCCTCAATCCCTCTGTTACTGTGTCACTATACCCCACTCCCTCTAACATGTAAACTCACTGAGCAGGCCCTCAATCCCTCTGTTACTGTGTCACTATACCCCCCCTCCCTCTAACATGTAAACTCACTGAGCAGGCCCTCAATCCCTCTGTTACTGTGTCACTATACCCCACTCCCTCTAACATGTAAACTCACTGAGCAGGCCATCAATCCCTCTGTTACTGTGTCACTATACCCCACTCCTTCTAACATGTAAGCTCACTGAGCAGGCCCTCAATCCCTCTGTTACTGTGTCACTATACCCCACTCCCTCTAACATGTAAACTCAGTGAGCAGGGCCTCAATCCCTCTGTTACTGTGTCACTATACCCCACTCCCTCTAACATGTAAGCTCACTGAGCAGGGCCCACAATCCCTCTGTTACTGTGTCACTATACCACACTCCCTCTAACATGTAAACTCACTG